CAACATTGCAAGGACTAAATTTATCTTTGAAAAATGGGTCCTTTTCTTACGTGGAAATTTAAAAACATATGGAGCCATGCGTCATGACAATATAATTCACTTGAAAAGACAAACCGCCCACCTCCACCAACCTTTCCGAACTCACCAGTACCTTATATTCCACTGTCTTGGGCCCCCCTTATTTAGCCGTGTTTCTTTACTTCTACGGTTTACCTAAGCTTTTGACTAAATTTTCCCTATAAATGATTGCCCTATGTAGCTCCCACAAAACCATAAGCAAAACACTAGCTAGCTTCATTAATTGATATATCAATGGAAAAGTTTCTAGTAAAGTCTCTTTTTCTGGCCATGGTTACCGTCTTGGTGGAAGGGCATGGCACTAGAGTTGGATTTTATTCAAGCTCGTGCCCTCGAGCTGAATCCATTGTCTCCTCAACAGTTCAGTCTCACTATCGGTCCAATCCCCTCATAGCTCCAGGCTTGTTGCATATGCTCTTCCATGATTGCTTTGTCGAGGGCTGCGACGCCTCTGTCCTCATTGAGGGTTCCAACGCCGAGAGGACTGCTATTCCAAGCCTTACTTTGAGAGGCTTTGAGGTTATTGATGATGCCAAAAAGCAGATTGAAGCAGTGTGCCCCGGAATCGTCTCTTGTGCTGATATTCTTGCCCTCGCTGCTCGCGATGCAGTTGTTCTGGTAATTATATTCAAGTTTCATAGTATATTAAAAGAAGTAAAAATCGAGATGCATGTCTGTTAGATTTTTGAGGTAAGAAGAAAGGGTTGAGAGACGACTTCGAAGAAAGTAGGAAAAGAGTTGAACTCAGAACATAAATCTGACATAGCCATTTAAGGGGTGCAGATATTCACCCAACCGGGAGGAGAGGAGAAGTTCTCCAAATCTCACTCCCACTTCCATTAACATTTTATCAAAAATTGTAATACATAAATTAACATAAAAGTACATTGAAATTGCTGCACTTTTGTTGACTAATTTGCAGCCTCCATTAACATTTCATTTGCATATCATTTGCATCTCAATTTCATTTCATTTTCTTCCATAATACAGCGATTTGCTGCACTTCTCTTTCTTCCATTAAAGCAGCTCCATTAAGACATTCTTTGCCATGAAGCCGTGGGAGTTTAGAACATCAAAGCCACATCCGTGAAGAGTTTTCTTGGGAAAACTCAAAACATAACCATAGCAAACATAAAAGATGGATGAAGAACATACCATGAAACTGAGTTGTTTGTGCTCAGTTTCCCATTCCATTAACCATGATTTGCCTTTTGGACAGATTTTGCAAACAAACATGAACACCTTCTCTTTGAATCCAGCTTTCCTCTCCTTCACATCTCCCATGGTGGGTCTAACATATGCCTCTAGCTTCACAGCCTTTTTTGCTGCAAAATTTTGGCCAAGAAAGAGGGGTTTCACATATATTAGAACCGTCTGAAAACAATGAGAAAGGTCGATTTTTTCTTCTTCTTCTTTTTTTTTTTTTATGATGTTCGCTCACAAAAACACTCTCACAGGTCCCTCAAGAATTCGTCCCTCAAGAATTCAGCTCTGATACCATGTGAGATTTTTTAGGTAAGATGAAAGGGTTGAGAGAGGACTTGGAGGAGAGTAGGAGACGAGTAGAACTAACATAAATCTGACATTGCCATTTAAGGGGTGCAGACATTCACCTAACGGGGAGGAGAGGAGAAGTTCTCCAAATCTCACTCCTTATTTTCATTTACATTTTATTAAAGATTGTAATACATAAATTAACATAAAAAGTACATTGAAATTGCTGTATTTTTGTTGACTAATGTGCTGCCTCCATTTGCATTTCATTTGCATCTCAATTTCATTTTATTTTCTTCCATAATGCAGCAGTTTGCTGCACTTCTCTTTCTTCCATTAAAGCAGTTTTATTGCTACACATTTTGTGCCATAAACGCAGCTTCTTGCTGCACCATTTTGCTGTCTAGTTGCAGCAAACATTACAGCTTTGATGCTATTGCTCCAACAATATTCTAACATTAAAAATATTAGAATATCCAACCACAATCATAAAAATTCTTGTAATTATAACCATAATTGAACATCATAAATTTCAGTATTTTCTATAATAAATATTTTCATAAATCAAACTTCTTCATTATTACTTTATATAACATAACCAAGCAATATATGCTTCTATTTATGTGTATGGTGCAGACGGGAGGAGTGAGTTGGCTGGTACCAACAGGACGTAGAGATGGAACGGTTTCATTGGCATCCAACGTTAAACTAGTAAGTCCCAAGGAGTCCATTGATGCGCAAAAGCAAAAGTTTGCTGCATTTGGTCTCAACACACAAGACCTTGTGGCCCTTCTTGGTAATTAATTAAGTATTAATTAAGCAATATAATTTTCCTTTTTCTACTACTTAAGTAAAAGAAAAAGGAAATTGAACCCTTCAACTTTTCATTGTTGCCCAATTAACCTCTTTTTTTTTTTTTTTTT